TTTAATATATAAACTTGTGAAGTTTAGATCAACATTTATGAGATTCCAGTTACTTGTTGCCACAACAGCTACACAATGGTAATTAGCACCCAGCAGTACAAAGAAAGCATTTGCAAGAACGGAAAAAAGTTTAACTATTTCTCTATAAAATAATATTATACTATAATATCCAGTTTGAATTTTCAATTACATGAAAATATTAGGCTTACGTCGCTTAGCGTGTTTAATCTTTATCAACCTTAAGTGCTGCGGTAGTAGAATCAGGTATTCGTACAAGTATACAAATACTACAACTTGTATTCGTATTACCATGAGTAGCCGCTGCAAACCTATAGGTAAATGTACACGTGTGTACCAAAACTATGCTACCGAATCTTTGTTGAATCCTGATTCATCATTTCATTCAGGGAAAATCTCGATTAATCACAGTTGAATCGTGATCGGCAAGGCCTTGGACATTTATAGGGCGGTGATTTCGGCAAACATCGCGCTCGTGTTAAAGTCAAAGTCAAAATTTCTTTATTCGATATAGGTTTGTTTTAAGCTCTTATTGAACGTCAAAACGTTAGAACGTTAAAAAACTACCACCAATTCACTAATTTAGACCTGTTCAGAGAAGAAACTGAAAGAAACTCTGCGGTCTTATTCTTCGTTTCTAAAATGATATATACAAATTTGTTAGGTATAAAATCATCAGCAGCAAGGGGCCTTGCAAGTCCAGAGCAAGGCTTAAGTTATATCATAATTTTTAGACTCAATATCGCTTATAGCCAATAACACAGAAAATAACACCAAGAACATTACGGAGTTATTAACATTTAATCTCAACGACTGGTTCGGCAAATCAAGTTGTCGGACACTTGCCTTGAGCTTGAACCATCGATGGCCGCGTTTAAAAAGAGACGTAGCTAACGAACAATTGCGCAACACGTGACAGGTGGCGTGTTCATTATCATTACAGAGGCAATACTAGAGTTCGCTTCTAATGCAGCATTCGACGCCTACGCGATGTTCGCCGGGCTCTACTAGGTATGACATTCTGAATATTATTCGGTTCGAGCCTCAAGCGCTCGCGACGATCAATGTGACCGACCTTATACGTGCTGGAAAGTTTGCGAAACGTTCTCGAATCGACCATATCGTATGATTAAAGGGGTTAATAGGAGGAAAACGAAGATCTCTTTATATAATGATTGTTACCCAGTGCATCCAGTGGTTAGTTACTGCTATTAACAAACGACATTCGGTATTGGGATTGTAACCGGAAAATATAAAAGAGTAGAGAATGTTCCGTTTCTATCCACTGATTTTAATGAACAATAACATTGAGAGGTATAGTTTTTAATAGGCATGACACAATACAGATCATTACGAAAGCAAAGAGGAACGAATCGCCGTGCGGCAAAAACATTGTAGTGGAATTTTCCATGGAGCTTTCTAGAACCCCACGAACGAGCTGCGCCTTGCGACATCCGAATATGCCGGTGATGCCGTGGTCAGGGTTGCTAGGTAGTTGGCATGCATTGGGATAATTCGAAGAATGATTTATATATGACTGCTTAGATTATTTTCATATAACTCTTTTAAAATAAACCCCTTGTTTTTCGAAGCGTTTTACATTTAAATAAAATGACAGATTACTCTGGAGACCACGGATAGCTACTTTTAGAACAAGGTCATATTTAAATACAGAAGATTTACTGACAAATTACCGTGAAAATATTTTAAAAACCAATCATAAACTATTCTTTGTTTATTGTTTGCGCTGCCTTGCATTCTTTACGCGTCACAACAAATAACTCGTTAACGTTAACGGAATATGCTACCTACGTATCGGTGTATACCTTTTCTAATTTATTTTTAATATGCTTCTACGTTCAATTTACGTCAGAAAATGTTAGTACTTATGTCCGCATTTTTCCCACACCATTCTGGTAACACTGCCCGCATCGGCACTTTCACTATGTAGTATGCAATACCACGTAGCGAATAATATAAACTCAACAATACGAGTACAACAATAAAACGCAATTGAACGCATTTTCTATTACTTCTACCAATACTTGTTTCAGTAATAATAAATAAAAAATACCAAAAATGCCAGCATGATGAACTCAAAATTTAAAAACAAACAAATATGCGCATAGAAGTTGGAGAACACCGAAGACCTTATCTACAAAAAAAAATGAACGATTTCGCTTTGATTTATCCCCGCCGCTACCAACGTACGAGTTAAACGTATGAAGGATAAACAAAGACTACCATTATTTTCGAGTTCGTTGCTAAACATAGTCCACCTTCCATAAAGGTAATTTTAGCGATCTCGTGGCATTTACGCCGAGCGAATACCCGTCATCTAAACCGTACACTAACTTATGCAAATTGGTATTGACGTGAAAAATTTAGCATCTCAAATCTGGAATTGAAACGCAAATACATGTTTGTTATTGTAGCAGATGCAGAGAAGCAATTTGCTCGAGTAATACCTTCTAAGCTTCAAATACCAACCAAAGCTTTACAAGACCACGCAATTCGGAATAAATAATAATTAATGTGTTGCGAAGATCGGGCAAAGTGGAGGAGTTTAAGTAGGAAAGCAATTGCTGGGATAAATGCTAGGTAGAAGAAGAAGAAGAATAATTAATGTGTTATCGTATCATATTTTACGTAACATGTATATTATCCCTTGAGATGAATCAGTACAATGCAGCAAAATAACGCAGCCTTCTAATTATAGACGAAGACAACAGCAACGAAGGGAGGTATTTTCGGAATTCGAAGTATTCTTTATTTATTCGGTTTACTTTAAAACAATAAAGCATTTCATTTCTGCAATGAGCACTTGATTAGTAGGGTCATTCGCAAGGACACAATACAAGGATCAAATTATTAAAAACCAAACATGAAACCAAAAAAACAGTGAAAATCAGAGTCAAACTTTATTCAATTTAGGCTTATGTTTAGTTGAGATAGATCAAATAATTAATTATTTGACATTCTTATGAGCTTTGAAAACGAAAACGTATTGAAGTGCTTCCTAAGAGTTACTAGTTTTTTTCCGAACTTTTATTTCGAAAACCACATGTTCTTACAATAAAATGACATATAAATACAAGTCGTAAGTGCTTGTTTAATCGATACGAAACGCGAGTCGCAACAATAGTACAAACACAATACAGATGTATGGTATATATCTATAATAGAGGTTTAATTAATAACGTTTCACGTTTACAAAAATTATGTAGTAATATGGAATGCGTTATAAACTAAAGATATTATAAAAAAAATTGACTTGTTACGCGAATTGATATGAATGTAATTATATTAATTTTGTATGAACAGTATGTATTAAATAATATAAAAGGATTTTAGCAAAGAAAAAAAGTCAAATTGACGCCAGCCATCAAAACCACAAAATTTGACAGCAATTTTGGGAAGACAAAATATTTCTCAAATTTCAGTCCACAAATCCAAAAGTTCCAAAAAACTGTGATTATATGCTCATTATTTTATGTTCTTTAAAGACGTAGTGAGTTACGGTAGAACGGTATTAATAAAATTGGCAGTGGCCTCTAGTTATTTCCACGCATCGTGGTCCTCGGAATATCTTCAACGGTACAAAAGTTAAGCAAATTAAATTGGTGCACCGGAAGAACATAGTCTTATGGGGACTTTTGCAACTGAGGTGTGTATGGATTCGAATACATATCAACACAACAGGCACGAGATCACGGGACCCGTCGCAGAAAGTTCAGAGTACGTGCAGTCCGCGGTGCGTCGGTAGCTACCCAATGTGATAAATAAACACATTGTACGTAAAACGCGACCTTGGCTGAAGTGTGAAACGCAGATAATACACACAACATGTCTGTTTTGGAAAAACTCAATCTGTTCACTGCATGAATATCACATACTCAGCGTTATCAACATGGTGATGGATTGACTGGCACTCTCAACTTGATTAAATGCGTACAAAATTAACCATCTATTTCTATCCATCCATCTATAACTATTTCTATCAATAATAAAATGTTGTTTACGCGATTTTGAGGTCGGGTTCTGACTGATTATCAGAGTTACCTTTCTGCCGCTGGCACCATGTAAGATATTTTCTTCTGATCAAAACACTTTTATATAAGAAATAACAAGGTAAATACAAGTGTGCGTGTCCGTATTTGCATAAACATTTAAAGTATAAAATATTAGACTATAGTACACAGTCAACAATACATACTCCCTTATACTACCAGAATAAGGCAATTTGTCATCAGTCATTGGAAAACAATCATAATGTCACCAAACTTTTAAAGTGAAAGTAACGTATAATAAGCACACGCGCAAGAGTTCAAACTTTCCTTCGCCGCGTATTAAACAGCTTTATAGCTTTTAATTCGCTAGGTATACGATACTCATTATAATACAGTAAATAGGGATCATCAAAAAGTAATTAAGCCAACAGTGGAGCACTTGACACTGGCTATATTCAATTTGAACAGGAATGGAAAAACAACATGGAAAAAAAGCATGTCGATTACGGTGAACAGATAATCCCAATAGTTTTGACAGACGAAAAAAAAACAAGTGACGTCACGACGGGCACGTGCAGTAAAATATACAGCTGTATACAAACCGAATAGAATATGCAATAACCGGCTGGGCGAGATAAGACGGACGCTACAGCGCTGCCAGTCGCGATAGTGACGTGGTGGGAACATGCAAACTGTACTTCGCCATCGCTCTATCATGGCTAAGCTGTTGCAACTCATCAAAGAGATTTCTTGATCCAAATTTTTTTTTTTTATAAATAAAATATTATACCAATTATATCCATAATGAGTGTTTATACATTATAACGACTAATTAAGAAAATGATATCACATAAATGGTTAATTAGTTTAATGAGATCATTATTATAATACTACATACGATTAAGGACATTAATTATAGGTTGCTAATTACGGGCGATGGCAAAGTTCATTACCAGCGCAATGTCAACTCACTTGGCTGTAGATCTCCTTAAGCCCGCTCGTGATGAACTCCGAAATTGGAACACGTTCACAAAAGAAACCGTCCGTTTCTATCAAAAGCCACTAGCACTGCAACTGACACAGAATATTACCCAACACAGGCCCAAACTAGGTAGAGCACGCAAAGCCGAACGAGTGACACTAGAAATGGTACAAAAGCCAAGTCGACACGCAGATAGGAGCCGTTTCTTTTCGAAACTGGTTTTCTTTCTCGGGCACGGGTTGAGAAAGGAAAATCAAAATTCAAAAAAAAAAACACGTGCGCTCGGAGCGTGGCACTTGTTTCCCGTGGCGTTGCGCACTGGTGACTGAGGCGATTGCTCGGAACTCTGAAGGCGAATCGATGTTGTGCGGCGCAGTTGTGTCGTCACGTGGCGACGCACACACAGACGCGCGCGCGGGGAAGCTCGCCGGGGCAGGAGCTAGGTACATTGTCTGAGACTCGTGCCTCACAGACTCACAGCTCTCCCAACGGGAGTCACGCGGCCATCCCGTTTCTGAATTCGTGTTTTTTTTTTTCTTTTATGCGATAAGGCAACCAAACTCTGAAGGCAGAAGTCAGATGAACCGACGTTACGGTTGCAGATTGTTGCGGTTGTTTTGCATACTTTTGAATCGAAATTATACTGTGTCACAACTCATGACACCATACATAATTTTTTCCGTTTGATTATTAATTAAAATCCTGTTTCGGCATAAAAACGAAACTTAAATGTGTAATTTCAAATGTTATAATGACTTCCACGTAGACAATTAAAAAAAAAACAATTGGTGCCTTAGTCTCATTATTTCATAGAAAAACTAAAAACTTTAAAAATCTATTTTACAAAATGGTTATGTATAACCTTTTTAGATCTTTACAAAGCGCTTGAAACTATCAACTCGGACCTTGAGCAAAGCAAAAGGTCAAGCAGTACGAGCAAAGAGAGAGATAGATTGTAAATTTTAGGTAACTTATCATTACACTTATAATTCAAAAGGTACGATATGCATAAAATGTATTAACAACAAAATGACTCATAATTGTGAAGAGAACGTTATCACATCGATTAGAGATATCACTTATGAACGAATGTTACAACAAAGGGAAGAAAAGAAGCCATATTTCTTCATGTACTACAACAAAAAGAAATAAAATGATATGCATTAAATGTATTAACAACAAAATGACTCATAATTGTGACTTGAACGTTATCACATCGATTAGAGATACCACTTATGAACGAATGTTACAACAAAGGGAAGAAAAGAAGCCATATTCCTTCATGTACTACAACAAAAAGAAATAAAACAACCTTAAAATGATTTGATAGACATTTGTCTAACCAAATCCTAAAGTAAGAAAGTATAGAATTACATCTAAGAATTTAATACCATAATGGTCACACAAAAACATTAAAGTACCAAACATATAGTCTACTTAAAACGCACGAGCTCAGTCACGAACCTCTGTTCATTTTCTGACAATCAGCGAATTCATTACTGCAACTTGCTGCCACTTTACTAATAAAAACTTGAAGTAAATTGGCCTTTGTGTTTGATCATCATTAAGAAATAAATCTACGCGATACGATGAATGTCGTCAGCGAACAAACATTTTACCAGAATCTATCATTTGGCTTTGTACCAATGCAGTCCGCAGAAAAACGGCTAAACAAACAGAACGAAACAAAATGAAAATGTTACTTTCAATAGAAAGTTAAAAAGCCGGCCAGTTGCGAGTCGGACTCGCGCACGAAGGGTTCCGTACCATTATCTATACACACGGCAAAAAATCATCTGTTGGATGGGAGCCCCACTTAAATATTTTTATTCCGTTTTTTAGTATTTGTTGTTATAGCGGCAAAATAAATACATCATCTGTGAAAACTTAACTGTCTAACTATCACGGACAATGAGATACAGCCTGGTGACAGACAGAGAGACAGCGGAGTCTTAGTAATAGGATCCCGTTTTACCCTTTGGGTACGGAACCCTAATAAATGAAGGTTCATCAAAGTGCGAGATAAGTATAATGGGCAAGGGCCAATTGGTTGGGGGGACATTGACCTGGAGGCGAACGACAAACGCACATAACAATATTATGTCGGGCTTGAACATTGGGTAACCGCATGGGTTGGCATTGCGCCGGTTCTACAGAGAACTGTCAGGATAAGCCTCTCAAGCTCTATGTAACTGAGGTCAAGATGATGCCTACCGAAAATACAGCAGCTTTCGGAGGGATACATCAAGTCATTTAGCGTCCCCTTAAGTCGCTTATGAAACGCCGGCGTGATTGCAATCATCTCGCAAAAAAAACCTAAAATGATTTCGTTACCATGGACCGCTGACTAGGACCCGTATTGATCTTAAATCAACTCAGGTGTTTCACCTTGGGAAACGGATGAAATATTTGGGAAGAATAACGAAGCGACAGTCTACTCGTCAACTTTGACGCGGTTTAGAAAAATAATCAAAAAATTGAAAATTAAACATATTTGTTTATTATAAGACGCGGTTTCGGTTTAGAAAAATAATCAAAAAATTGATAATGAAATTATATTTATTTATTATAATTATGAAAAAGACTCTTGTATATACATAAATAACCGAATTATGAGCTTTATCCGTAAACGGATACTAACACTAGTATAAAAAAAAGATTAAATTCTATAAATATACTTCAAAAAAATATTAATTCGTAATGATTTTTATCGGTATTTTCCAAGAATACCTTATCACTTTTAAAAGCTTTGATTGCGCCATCGCTACGAATACACCAAACTAAAACAATGGCAGCAACTTAGTTGATGCTAAAACTTTATCTGTGAATAAATAGGTTCTTTATTGATTTTATTATTGAATACTTTTATTGTTATTAATATAAATTTCCAAAACTAAACTTTTTAAAGTATTAATTTATCAAATACAAAGTACTGAAATAAAAAAAACAAAAATATTTTTTTTATTTTTCCATGTAATGATTATTTTTTCCTTATTATTTTTTATATATTATATAATAGCATTGGACATGCATTAATATGGATGATGTTACCTCGTCAAATTTCTTAGAAAGTGTGGTGGCCGTGTAGTCCTTATCGAGGTGGACAGGTAAAGACGCACGACGCGCTCCAGAGACCAACATGGTTTAGCATCAACATCCAACTAACTGCTCGACGCTACTCTACGGCACCTACTCTAGCCCGCACAGATTAGCAACGCAACAGATAAGATAAAAGTATTTACTGAGGTTCAGAGCTTTGTGGTTTTGTAATTAGCGTACGCGATGAGATAATCCGATATTGATTTTTTTCGTTGATTGATGCCTCCTCCTATCGTGAAATTATTACAATACATAAAATAGAACTGCATTTATATTATAACATATTTGGTGCTTGTAACGACAGAATTTAATTGGTGTTTTTTGTGCGTTTTACAATATTATTAATAAATACGCTTTTTAACTCCCAAGTTTGAAATCGGTAACATGGTTTTATTAAAAATACAAATATTATATTTTCGAGTATAAAATTAAACGAAGACTGTTTATGCGAATTCAGCCATAAATATTTCCAAACGGGCGTCTTCCTTAGATTATAATTTAATTTATACTTCATGTTGAACTTTGCAGAATGTTTACGCTGATTATGAAGCGCAAAATACACAACAACGATAATACCGTAGTAATAGGTCCGGTATTAGGCGAGTAAAATTCCATTGTAAATCATACGAAGATTGCAAACCAATATTCGTGGCATTTACAGGTCCGGCAACGTCAATTAATGCGCATAAAAATCCAATATGTCGCGTCCCTTCTGTATCACGGATTGAGGACGTGACAAGTCTGGATTGAATACTATGCAAATTAAATCTGACCTCACGTTACGTACTGACTGACAGACGATCATTTAGTGCCGCGTAAGACGCCATTATGTAACGCATTTTAGAAAGGCATATATTTCCTTCTACATTCTGGCATATTTTGGTTTAAACCCCAATTATTACATTATACGAAAATGTTTAAGTATTCCATATAATGTGAAATAAATATTTTTATATTACTAAAAGAAAGAAAAGAAGCTTAAATTATAATGTTAGTTCTGAATTCGATGTCCGATGTTGGCATCTTGACATTGCTTACATTATAGGTACTGATTGCAAGCGAAATTAATTAATAATGGAATGTTCTAGAAGGGAAAGAAAGCCCATGAAAAATATAAGAGAAAGAGAGTTCACTAAAATATATTAATTATGTTATATGATTTATTATCTATTACCTATTTTTAAACCCAATCTTAGTTAAGGCACCAGTAACCCACAGTTTTGATTAAATATTACGACATACATAGACGTTGCATTCACGCATTAAGTAGTGACGTGATAAAAAGAGAAATAAATAAAATATTTTAATTTCAACAGTTCAAAATAAGAAGAAACCATGTCGAAGACTTGGAAGACTTCTTGTGTATTTACAATAAATTTATTAAAAATCCTCGTCGTTACGTCTTTAGACTTTTGTTTTGAACAATACGATAAATTTTCCTCTGATTGTATCGCTGGAAACGATAAGCCATTCAAGAAACAATTAACCTTCACCTTATCACCGGAGCACCAAATATAAAATCCCGTGCCATTCAGCATTCAAATCTAGACCCTTATCAAAGTGGCAGCTGCAATGTAAGATTGATCGAATTACTCTTCTGAATGTATATGTATGTTTAAACTACGATATAGCGGTTTACTATAGCGGTTTTCAGATGTGTCGTTTGCTAATTTGGTTCAATTACTTTTACAATGTAGCTCACCAAATTTATGTCATAGCCCCCCGAGTAAATTACGATTTAAAATGCTAATTATAATAAATGTAATATTATATTTGATTTTTTTTACGTTTTTTTTCTCATTATAATGAATGATATGAAAGTAGACGAACAAACATTAGTAACTATTGAAGTACAAGTCTTAAGTAAATTTTCAATTTCTTATAATCTGCAAATAAACTACTCGTATTCTACAAGATACTGCTAAGCTAAGACACACTACACACGACACGACACACAAGATACACTACACACTTCGATACATTTCTCCCTAGTGTGACAGTAAGAGGCAAGTCCCAAATTTCTTCCGCCGGATAATAAACAGATCTAGGGACTTCCAAGTGACACCTCGCACTCTTTAGAACATTCCTTTTTTTGTAAATTTAATCGTATGTTAAATAATACGTAAACAAATCGATATAATTAAGTATTTTAATTGTTCACTTCCTTCTTCTTTACTTCCGAGTTGACTTATTTAGAAGGAAATTATCAGTTTCATGTTTAATCTTCAATGTCAATGATACAAAAAAATGAGAGACCAGCGACAAAAGATCAGATGGAAATTCCTCCGGGCTTTATTGGACGGTTGCCAATATATGTAACTCTAATTATACCGGTTAAACGTTGCAATTC